TCATAGAATGCTTCCGAAGTCATATTCAGGTCATAAATGGCGAACCAGTTACGGATACAGAATGACTTGTGGTGGCCTTCCTGCTTGCATATGCTCCAGGGGTCCTTGCAAGATCCTGGTCCAGGTGCAGGTCCAGGTCCTTGCAATGCAAGATCCGTAATGCTGTTTGATGCAGTTGCAACAGATCCCGAAGCTCTCTGCCCGGTGTGCCCCATCGCTGAGGTACGGGTAGTGGTCGCAATCAGTGCTGAAGTGCGCTTCCGAACCGCAGAAGACGCAAGCCTCGATGTCCTCGGGCGGAGCGCAGCATACCAGAAACCTGAAATATGTATTAGGCTGGGTTGGGGCATGCTCCACCGACCGCTGAGACAAGCTATGAGTAACTGGTCCGGGTCGTGGGTCATATCGTGGCCTCATTGATGGAGGCTCGGTCCCACGCATCGTGTCATCTGTATTATGCCTCCTTTTGCCTAGCCCCGAGTGTTCGCCTCCGACCCTGGAGGAGAGAGTAGACTCACGTCCAGCCTCGGGGGAAACTCGGAGTTCTGCGGCACTCTGCGACCTTGGAGTACACTCGCCGGGTCCCATGTGTGGAATAGTCATGGTCCTTAGAGGGCGTTGTACTGCTCGACCTGTATGGGAGCTGGCGCGACGGGCTTCCTCTTGCAGACGCCTGTCTAGGGTGGACGTCTGCAGGTACTCGTCCGCTGTCCTAATTAGTTGTCGCGCCACCACCAGAGAGTCTGTATGTAGGTCTCGGGTCCTCAGACCATGGTGGAACTGTGCCGGCTTGTGACTTAAAGTGATACTGTTCATCTTCTCGGGTCACTTTAACCCTATCCCGGTTCATGAAGTGCACAATCTGTTGCGTTTCCAGCACTCTAATCATGCGCGTGGCATGTGCGATAACTGCTGAGCTGTGTTGTAATATCTCTGTAAAGGTATCCTCTGTAATACCGAATACTTGTAGAATGAACCTAAAGTAGGTCTGGTCTTGATTACTTTGGAATAACCTAGGTAACATGAGTTCTTGTAAGTCCCTGTTGACGTTGATAGATATAATGCCGTGTGTTAACTCGTAATTCCAGCTTCGATCTGCGTGGGGGACAGTCCTTCTGTCTTGTTCTGACTTTTTTCCTCTGTATTATTTTCCATCTTCCTTCTCAAGTACTCGGAAATTTCGAGGATCTGGGCATTGACTATAGTGTTTTCTGCTCCGATTATCTCCCAATGATCTGTGAAATTTCGAATCAGTTGGTAGCGGTCATCTTCTTTTTGTATCTTATTGGAGTAATCCTCCAGGTTTCTTTTAACTTGCTCGTCCAGTGTGTTATATGTATTATTCCTTGCAGTAGTTTCTTATCATAATATGCTGTGTTTTCGCTGTCATCGAATTCGCCAGTTTTACGTTCCCTTTCTGTGATCTCAAGCGTTGTTTCTTCGAGTTCCGCCAATTTTCCCGCTAGGGAATTGACGGCTTTCGTCATCTGGCCTTTGATATAGCCGGTAGCAGGCATCGCAGCAGCTGGCGTGACAGGTCAGCCACTAAGACTCCCAAACTTGAGATAGTTATCTGAAATAACTGGTTCAAGCTTGTGTTGCATTGGTCTTAGGCGGGCGATTCGACGCGAGTTTATTTCCATCAAATGAGTCAAATGAGCACGAGTATTAGAAGATACTGAGCAAGATAATCGATTGCTGTGAGAAAATTAGTACACGAGAAGTTGCGAGAACGAAAAAAATAAAAGAGGAAATGGAAGATGAACTAAACGAAACATCTAGTACCAAATAAGCGACAGCCTGCTAAAGAGGGCTAGTTATACTTTTAATAGCGACAATTTATATTTTTCTTTTAGATGTATTGCTGTGACATGAAGAAGGTGTACTGGACTAGACAGAGGTGAAGCCCATTGAGTGGTAGACCCACCATACCCTAGCTACTTTTATGGGTGGCCAGCCCACATAGTAGAAGGGATTTAAGAAACTTCTCCGTCAGTGCGCCCATTTGTTTGGGACTAACAAGTTTGTGGGCATGCCGCTACAAATCTACCATCCGGTACTGCACCGCCGGCTCTCCTGGCAGCACCGGCTGGAGGCTCTTCGTTCGCCTCCACTCTAAATGTGAGCTCCTCGAACCTACTGTCCCATCTGTCCACGTATTCCGTATTATTGCTCCCTGGTCCTCATCAGTCTGTCGGCTAGTTGCCACCCCTAGCCAGCCGTTCTACTGGGGTCCCAATGCACTCGA